GGCTGCTAGTTAAAAAAATAAACTTTAAACGAATCAACAATAGGACTCAGCCACCCCACCACAAATGAATCATTAGGTTACCGTTTTTTGCCATACATTGGTGAATTATCGGAAAAAGTAAAATTTTTAAACAAGGTTTTAGAATAGCTTTTAGAAGTACGGGTTCACTTAAAAACATCCTCGCAAAACCTAAAAACAAAGTAGACAACTGGGCAAAAAGCCGGGCTTACCAACTCAATTGTAATGATTGTGCTATTAAATATATAGGACAAAGCGGTAGAGAAATAAAAACAAGAGTAAAAGAACACTTGCCTAAATCGAGCAAATTTTCGGAATTTAAGGACCATCTAAAAAGAAACGAAACATAATTTCAGTTCAAATCTAAATACAAGAGTGTTACATAGTTTCAACAAAGGGAAAGAATTAGATTGGTTTAAGAAATTTGAAATTAAAAAATTTAAAATTGAACATGGTGATAAACGCATTAATAATATAACAGATTTTGATCTACCTCCCATTTTAAATATGTACATAAATAATAATAAACATCCAAATAATTAAACGAATTATTTTAATTGTTATTATTTTTATAGAAATTTAATAATATTAAGTATTTACTAGTATAACATTTATTTGTGTTAAAATTTTCGCGTTTCGCACGTTTAAATTGAGCGCCATTAAAAAATCAGCTGCGAATTGGAACGTCGCGTTGGCGGAGGTATCAGTGGGTTCACTTTGGCAATTCATGTCGAGAGACGTGGTTTTAGAAGTCCTTCAACCTGATGATGAGCTAAAAGCTCGAAATCCGGATCGTTGCAAAACAACTTACTGTGAGTAGGAACTATCTTTTTAAAAAGGATTGAACACTATACTCACTCCATCATTTATCATTTCTATATTCAGGAGCCCTGTATTGCGACATAATTACAAATGGGCTTTTCTTCAAAACACCGACACCCGAAGGGAATTAATATGACCTCTTTTGTATAAAAAAATCAATAACTACTTCTGTCATCCAAATTATTTTATTTTTAAACCAATAGAACTTTCTCTTATTTCGTACATTTTAATACATGTCTCTCTTTTTGTATGTAAAATTCTTAGGCGTGATCTTTTTCATGTTTTTAAAATACCTGATTTTATTGTATATTTTATATTTTTTACGCTATTTACTAGTTGAGTGTGCATTTAAATGTATGATTTAATTTATATGGGCAATTTATTTTGTAAAGGGCTCTTGCTCGGAAAATAAATTAATAAAACAAACAGAATATACACTAGCACGCAAAAAAATTCCACCCACTTGTAATATAACTTGATTTATATATATTTTTATATATTATAAAAGTTTTTTAACGTTTAATAATTGAGTCTTTGCAAAAAAGAAAAAAAAGTAAATTGCTAAGGAAAATGAAAAATAAAATAAATAAATAAAAAAATGACGGACAGATAAAATTGGTTTTAATTTTGTTTTAGATTTTTAATTAGAAATGTGTGGTGATTAGTGACCGTTAATCGATATTTATGAAGAAATCGTGAGATGCTGTTTGATGTGATGTAGGTTTCAGAAAAACATTTTGCCCTAAGAAGCCCTGAAGATGATCTCAATAAAGATCGAAACGTTGGCACGATAAAGAAAATGTTTTTCTGAAACCTACATCACACCAGACCGCATCTCACGATTTCTAAATAAATATTTTTAATTAGATTTCAATATCGCGTATTTCCTCCGCTTGCCTTAATTACAACTCGAAGACTCATTGGCTTACTTTCTATCAGTCTGGAAATGTCACTTTGCTGGAGGTTAGCCCATTCTTCACGAGTCCTTTCAGGATCGTGGAGTGTATCAGGAAGTGATGGACGTGCTCTTATTCGAAATGAGGAATAGTGGAGTGAGTGCGGTGTTCAATCCTTTTTAAAAAGATAGTTCCTCCTCACAGTAAGTTGTTTTGCACCGATCCTGATTTCGAGCCCTTAGCTCATCATCAGGTTGAATGAGTTCTAGTGATGATGAGCTAAGGGCTCGAAATCCGCGTTGCAAAACAACTTACTGTGCTCTTATTCGTCTTTCGAGGTTATCCCGTAAACGATGGGGTTCAAGTCTGAGAACGGGCTCAGGCTAAGACCGTGATGTTATGCTGTTGAAGGTTGAACGTACGTTGCGAGCTGCATGTTGACAGGCATTATCGCGCATTAGAATAGGATTGTCGCTGATTTCATCGAGGATAGGCGACGCATGATGTTCCAAAATATCATCCACATACCGAGCGGCCGTCAAAGACCCCCACAAACAACAACCAACTCTGTGCGACTCTCCATTGAAATTCCCGCCCACACCATCACTGAGCTACGGTGAAAAGGTTGGCTCTGGGAAAAATTACAACCTTTCATTCTTGTTTCACGCCCATCTGGAGATCGTAGAGGAAATTTACACTCATCTGTAAAAAGTACGGCGGACCAATCGCCCAAAGACCAATGGCTGTGTTCTCGAGCAAACGCGAGCCGTGCAACTCTGGGTGTTCTGGTCCTCTTACTGATTTATTCTTCTTGGAGCAGTACATTCAGAAATTTGAACTCCTCGAACTTCCTTGAGCTTGAACAACAGTAAGGTTCCGTTTTCGAAAAGTTCTCTAAGTCAAAAAACGGTCATCCTGTGGTTCTGTCACATCTAGGGTGTTCAAAACTGGGCCTTCTATGGTAGGACCCAGTTTCTAGAAAACGTCTAACGGCGTCCGCAGTGTTTCGCAGGGTACTCCGAGCAATAGCCGCATACCTGATGTAACGTCCATCATCAGTAAGTGCCACGCGCAACATCCTCAGCACTAACAGGCATTTTTAAGTTTAAAAATTGAAATTAAGAAAACAAAGATGAAAACTAAACAGTGTATTGCTTCAGAATTCATATAAGACTAAATAAACATTTTAAATTTCATAAAAAGTCAACATTGAAAAATTCTTTATCCCTGTTTTGGATTAAGGATTAAGTGTGTTTACCTCTAATTGATGTTCCCAATTTGAAACATAGCATAAACAAATATTTATTGGTAAAAACAATGAGACAAATTAAGGGCAGAATTTTCTTTTATCGAGAAAAAAAAAATCAACTGGATGGAATTTTTTGCCTGTCAGTGTATTTCAATTATAGTTATGTAGTATTAAATTCACTAGTTTCGTGGTCCGCTTGACTAATTAATATCTTTCAATTAATTAAGGTTTTTAGTTGAGATAAAAAAGTCAGTGTCACGAGCGGGATTCGAACCCACGACTTTCGGATAGATACGCCGCTGCTCTACCACTTGAGCAATCGTGACCTCGATCCACTCGGACGTCAACTCCTCATCTCAACTCCACCTTATGAGTTTTCCCTCCTTTTGCCATTTTTCAAATGTCGTGTAATCGGTTTGGATTCTCGACGACAATTGAAATGGCGACGGAGACCTTTAGTGAAGTGTACTTCATTTTTAAATCATTAATTCACTATTTTCGTGGTCCGCTTGACCAATTAATAAAAGATAATTAATTAAGGTTTTTAGTTGAGTTGAAAAAAAGTTAATGGCACGAGAGGGATTCGAACCCACGACCTTCGGCTATATACGCCGCTGCTCTAACCACTTGAGCTATCGTGACCTCGATCCACTGAGACACTAACTTCCCATCTCAACCCCACCTTTTGAATTTTCCCTCCTTTTTGCCATTTTTCAAATGTCGCTAATCTATTTGATTCTCAGCGACAAATGAAATGGCCACGGAGAGCTTTATTGAAGGTATACTTCATACTCAAGTGGTAGAGCAGCGGCGTATCTAGCCGAAGATCGTGGGTTCGAATCCCGCTCGTGACACTGACTTTTTTATCTCAACTAAAAACCTTAATTAATTGATATAATTATGTAGTATATACATACTACATAAAATTACATATGCACTTACAATTTCTAAAAGGTTTCTCAGTAAAATAAAGGATTTATATAGTTGTCTGATGACTGAAAATAAAAAACTGATCCACGAGTTAAATTTGAGGTTTATGCGATAAAAATAGATTTGTTTCGACACTTTAATTTTTGACTTTTGTATGATTGATAAGTGATGGTTTTTTTAGTAGAAACACAAAAAATAAGTCTATGGGTAAGAAAGGGTGTAGGTCACGTGGTGAGTTTCTTATGTTTTTTTCTTCCCCTGCGCCTCACAACAAGTGTTCAACACCTTATAAGCCGAGGATTTTCTTTTATCCGTTAATCACTACTCTATTTATTTATTTGGGGGAGAAAAAGCCTTTCGTGAAGTCACAACTGGCGACCAGTTCAGATCAACATTGGAATAAAGCAGAAAAATGCAAATCAGGTTCCGCCCGGCCGGCCTGCTCCCACGATTACGATGTCCGGGTTCCGGTGGTTTTCGGTTGCGGAACGCCCTTAGGGACCTTGTCAAGGATTTTCGAACCGTTTTCAACACTGTTGCTATTTCCCTCCCTTATCAATCGTAAAAAAAAACATTTTTTTTGAAAACCGATCTAATAAGTTTTTCTTGGGTGATGGGATTCGTTGATCAAATGAATAATCGAACCCTTTTTCTGTTTGTTTACCGTCCTTTCAATTTGAACCGTCCGGGATGTAAATCGTACTTTCCACATTGGGAAGACTGTGGGAATAATTGGTGACGACGGATTTCTCGGACAAAGGGGCCCGACGTTTACCTTTCTTGTTTGCCGAAGTCTGTTTGCTGTTTGTTCCGAGTCGGTCCTAATGACATGATCTTTGCCACGGACGTCGTGGCTTTCTCCCATCTCCGTTCAACTGAGTCCGTATTTAAAACAAAAGCTCAACATCTGTAAAATAGAGTTTTTCCGATTTACACCCTCGGACTTTGTAGTGTTGATTATTTGGCAAGTTTTACGACCTTTAGCTGTAAGAACAGTTTAAAAATAATTATGTTAGCTTTGAATCGCTTTACTACCAATTTAAATGCCTTATGTCAAGATATATAAATATTTTTTTTTGTTTCAGTGCCTAAAAGGGTGCACGTTGTGGGAGAAGGCGCTAGAGGCAAGCTGTCAGACGGTTTGTGTAAGTACAGACTAAAAAAAAATTATTCCATAAAATGTGTCTTTTAATACATACGTGTTTTGCCCCTTTAACATTTTAATTTTATTTTACACAATGTCTGCTATAACGAATAGGTATCTAATGAAAAAAAAAAATATGTGTATAGTATTCCATAATGAAAAGTAATCTAGTAGTCTAGAAAAATAATATCTATCTATCTATTTTTGAAAATAAACTATGTACTATTACTTAAATCAGAGATCATCTTCAGGGCCTGGGATTTATAAACATTGTTTAAATTTTACAAATACATGTAGGGTGTGAAAAAAATGAATTTATACAATGCTAGAAAATTTTAGATTAAAAAAAATAATAAAAAATAAAAATGATTTTATACAATGCTAGAAAATTTTATATAAAAAATGAATTTATAAAATACTAGAAAATTTTAGATGTAAAAAAAATAAATAATAAAAATGAATTTATACGCTAGAAAATTTTAGATATAAAAAAATAAATAAAAATAAAAATGAATTTATACAAAGCTAGAAAATTTTAGATAAAAAAAATGAATTTATACATTGCTAGAAAATTGTATATAATAAAATGAATTTGTACAATGCTTGAAAATTTTTTATAAAAAATGGATTTATGCAATGCTAGAAAATTTTAGATTTAAAAAAATAAATAAAAATAAAAATAATGTATACAATATTCGAAAATTTTAGATTAAAAAAATAAAAACGAATTTATACAATGCTAGAAAATTTTAGATAAAAATAAAATAAAAAATAAAAATGAATTTATACAATGCTAGAAAATTGTATATAATAAAATGAATTTGTACAATGCTTGAAATTTTGTTATAAAAAATGGATTTATGTAATGCTAGAAAATTTTAGATTTAAAAAAATAAATAAAAATAAAAATAATTTATACAATACTCGAAAATTTTAGATTAAAAAAAATAAAAACGAATTTATACAATGCTAGAAAATTTTAGATAAAAATATGTATTTATGCAATGCTAGAAAATTTTAGATTTAAAAAAATAAATAAAAATAAAACCTTACAATACTCGAAAATTTTAGATTAAAAAAAATAAAAACGAATTTATACAATGCTAGAAAATTTTAGATAAAAAAATAAAAATGAATTTACAAAATGCTAGACAATTTTAGATTAAAAAAAATGAATTTATACAATGCTAGAAATTTTTTTCACATCCTACATGTATTTGTATAATTTAAACAATGTTTATAAAACCCAGGCCCTGAAGATGATCTCAATAAAGATCTAAACGTTGGCACGATAAAAAAAATGTTTGTCTAAAACACGTCACACCAGACCGCATCTCACGATCTCTAAATAATAACTTATGAAAAAACGTTCAATTGTAGATTATTATATCCCATAATGAAAAATAGCCTGTACGTTCTAGTCAATATATTTAAATTTTTCGAAAGATACCTTGTATTCTAACCAATCGTTTTTTTTATTAAAAAGATTTATTAGATTATAGTTAAGAATATTCGATAATGATAAATACTACGTACATACTCGTCAATGCTTCAATAGTATCTCATTTTCGAAAGGGACGGTATACGTACCAACAAATTTTTATGAAAAAAAAAGTTCAATTTTAGATTAGTATATTAAATAATAAAATATAATATGCAAATAGGGGTTTTCAGAAAGGAACGAATCAATACATTCTTAAAAAAAGTGCATTGTAGATTAGAATATTCCCTAGTGGAAATTCCATTTACATAAGTACATACTAATCAATAGTTCCTTATTTTTGGAAGTCAAGATTTACGCATGATTCACGTATTCAACATTCTTATGAACTCGACTTTAGAATAGAATGTGGGCTATGAAAGATGTCAATAGATTGCCAATCGAGAAATTTAATAACTAGATTATTGTTGTAATAAAAAGGAAATTAAAATATGTGAAAACTAGATGGTAGATTCTTATTAAAATAATTTGGCTTGTTAGGTTAGACTATTCGATAATGATAAGTACAAACTAGTCAATAGCGACCATTTTCGAAATGGGTTCACGTACTCAATCAATATCTTATCAATTCTTGTTAGAAAGGTTTGGATTGTAAGTTAGAATATTACATAATGTTAAATTATATTTACATAAGTGCATAGTAGTCAATAGTGTCCAATTTTCGAAAGTGGAGATGTACTTACCAATCAATTGACTTTTATGAACGTAGATTAGAATATTTGATAATGAAAGTTACTGTACTTACTAGGCAATAGTGTCCAATTTTCGAAAGTGAAGATGGACTTACCAATCGATTGACTTTTATGAACTGTAGATTAGAATATTTGACAATGAAAGTTATTGTACTTACTAGTCAATAGTGTCCAATTTTCGAAAGTGAAGATGTACTTACCTATCGATTGACTTTTATGAACTGTAGATTAGAATATTTGGCAATGAAAGTTATTGTACTTACTAGTCAATAGTGTCCAATTTTCGAAAGTGAAGATGTACTTACCAATCGATTGACTTTTATGAACTGTAGATTAGAATATTTGATAATAAAAATTACTGTACTTACTAGTCAATAGTGTCCAATTTTTGAAAGTGAAGATGTACTTACCAATCGATTGACTTTAACGATCTGTAAATTAGATTATTTGATAATGAAAGTTACTGTACTTACTAGTCAATAGTGTCCAATTTTCGAAAGTGAAGATGTACTTACCAATCGATTGACTTTTATGAAATGTAGATTAGAATATTTGATAATGAAAGTTACTGTACTTACTAGTCAATAGTGTCCAATTTTCGAAAGTGAAGATGTACTTACCAATCGATTGACTTTTATGAACTGTAGATTAAAAAATTGAATAAGAAAGTTACTGTAGGTACTAGTCAGAACATTGTCAATCAATTTTATAACTCGATATGTTCCAATGATAAAAAATCAAAATATCTCAATACTTGACCGTAGATTCGAATTACAGTCAATAAAAATAACACAAATATGTAAATTCATTTTTAATCCATTACGTTTAGTGGTCTGATTGACCAAAATACTTCTTTCAATTAATTATTCTTTTTATGTAAGGTCTGGGTTGAAGTGAAAACGTCAGTGACAGGAACGGTATTGAAAGATCGTGGGTTCGAATCCCCCTCGTGACACCGACTTTTTGACTTCAACCCAGACCTTACATTAAAAGAATAATTCAGTTTTAATTTGAAAATATTTCATCATTAAATGGACTGCAATCGATATAACTCGCTCTATGAAGGTACAATAGATTCTATTAAAAAGGTGCCAGATAAGAATATTTATCATTCAATAAGTTATAGGTAAAGTCTAAGTACTATTCGATAGACTCTCGTCAGAAAAGGGTCCAAGCTAGAATAAAATAATCAAAACTAAACGGAATAGAGTACATACTAGTCAATACATTTTTGCGTTAAAAAAAAGCTCATTTGTGATTAGTGCAATAGGTTTACGTAGAAGTTTGTTCTTGGTATTTAAAGGATTTTTATTCCATAAGGATCAATTACAGATTAGAATATGCAATTAAGGTACTTTGTACATGGTAGTCAATATTTCCATGTTTCAGCTGTATCTACGTTAATTGAAAATATTATTAATGAAAGGTAATATTTTGTGTTAGTCAATTGATTCTTAGTTGAAAATTACTAGGATTATACTAATCGATGTATTTTTATTTTAAATACTTTACCTAGTGCGTCAGGGATTTTTGATCATTATGCATCAATAGCAGGTAAATGATTGAATAGAGTCAATAGATTCTGATTCAAAATTATTTCAGGTCAATTATCAGTAGGATTGCTGATCTGTATGGTTTGGTCAATCAAATCTTATTTAAAAGATACATGAACTGCTGCCGTTCTGTAGCTGGTAGATAGATCCTGACTTTTTTCTATTTTAAACGGATATAAGATTTATGTTCAAGTAATTACGTTTAAAATCAAGGAGTATTGCCGGTGATTTTTGGTTTAGGAGTGTCATATACGCGTTGTAATTTGTTCTAATTTTATTCTTTGAAATTTTAATTTAAAAAAAATATATTTAAAATGTATCCAATGGGTAATCGGCGCGTTTGGTCCGCCGAGAGAGAGAAAATATAAAGGCCTGCTAGGACTCAATTGGTCCTGATTACGTCCATTGGTGACAGTTGATTATCCGACAACGGACGAAATCCTCGTAGGCTGTTCAACTTGTACTTTTCAATTTGTTTATTATATATTTTTATTTTATTTCCAGAACGGGACGCAGGAACTGCTGCCGCCCAAGGAGCTCTACTGCGTCATGGGTTGTAACGACGCACTCAATAGATATCTGCAGAAACTGAAAGGTGACTTAAACTATATTTTCTACAATGAGACGTTTTTGTAGATAATTTACTTGTTAAAATACGGCTAAAAGCCTGACTGTATTTTTTAAATCCTTTATATTTAGAAAAATACGGCAAAGAAATTGAGCCTATCTTTACAGACTCGGAATTTTTTCGTCAACAAATTCAATGGACGCCTTAATCCAGGATTGCGGTCAAAGGACTTACAGATATGATGAATGCGCGGTACTTTCGTATGTCTGTGGTTTATTAATAACTGGAAGGACGTGTCCGGCCGGATGCTTTCTGCTCGTTATCGACTTTCAGAACCAATCCTAATTTTTTTTTTCAACCCGAAATAATTCGTTTCCTCCTGGACAAAGATAGGGTATATTTTAAACCTGGCGTCAAATGGAGATTCCTAACGCTTCCTGTCCAACTCCGGGCAATTAAAGCCCTCGTGGATAACGATCCGAAATAAGATTTTGAACCTGGCTTATATTCAGTTCAAAGAGGCAATAAAAAACAATTAATTTTATGAAAATCCTATTTTTAATACAATTTTTCGGTCTTGCTTCAGATTCAAAATTAAGAAAATTTCAATTTTGTTTTTTCGTGTATTTTCAGAAAAAAAAACTCGTATTAGCTTTAACAACATATTTCTGAACATGTCTGACCACAATTAACAACGATATATGAATGTATTTTGACAGCAGATCAAATTTTTCAATTTTAGACGAGCTTGGAAGACCTCCTCCACCAGCACTGGTTGCTGATTCGCTGACTTCAACTTCATTGAAGCTCGAATGGGAACGAGGCTCCTACCCAAACTTAACAGCCCTGTTGCAGTGGAGTTATGCCGATGCTGGACAGTGGCAATATGCCAGAAATCAAAGTTGGAACTTAAATCAAGTCAATGTGTCATGTCTCAGGCCATATACAAACTACAGAGTATGCAAAAAAAAAAAAAAAGATTAACTGTATAGACTAAAATGATTAAATTGTAGTTCAGGGTATCACTGCTTGCACAAGAAATGGAGTTGGTGATGTCTGAAGCGAGCCTTGTGATAGGTACGCTTCCATCGGGTCTGCCTTCGTCTCCTCCAAGCCTGGTACGGGCCACTGCGACAGACCCGACAAGGGTTTCAGTCTCCTGGCTTCCAGGCCCTTTTCCCAATGGGCCTATATTGTCCTACGTTGTTTCTATCGATGAACTTCCTCACGGTTACAAAGCACACAAGGTAAATAATAAAAATTTACAAGAATTCAAACCTGCTTACTAAAAACAAAACAATTTAGGATATACCCGTATCGGAAAAAAAGGAGTTTTATATGTTTCAAAGCCTACTGCCTTCTAGGAACTATTCAGTTTCTGTTGCAATGAGAAATGCAGTAGGTCTCGGTCCTCCTGCAGTGACTATGCTTTCAACACCTTCACTCTCTCACGGTAAAATCTCATCTTAATATGTTAACAATATTAACTATATCCTGTTCTTCTCTTTTTTCAGTTAAAAAAGCAGAAAAGACTATTCTTATATTGGGGGCTCATCATACGGTTATCAGCCAAGCTGCTGATATGCTGGACGAGCCGGTCGTCATGTATGAAACCCAACATAGAATCCGAGGTATTTATGAAGTTTAATTTTTAATTGATAATCCGTTTTATTTTAAATTGTGGCTTTTAAGGAGTGGCAGTCCACATAAGAAAAGGGCTCTTATTTGTATCAGACTCATTGGGAAGAGTCATGGTGACTTCTGCACGCGGGAAGCATCATGCTAGAGTTCTTCTTGGCACTGGTGTCGGTGATATAACACCGCATGCTCTTTCCGTAGACTGGCTGAATGATCAGTTGTACATTCTTGGTGAAGTGGGAAGAAGGTGGCAAGTCGCACGGTGCGAGTTGGATGGCTCTGGTATGATTGTTGCTCTCGCAGGTCTCCTCGATAAGCCTTTACATATGGAAATTGATCCATATAATGGGTATAACTTTTTAAATATTTTTTAAAATACCATGTAAATAAAGAGTATTTTGAACTTTAACCATTAAAATATTTTAAAGGTACTTATTCTGGGTGATGGAAGGAGTTCCAAGGGGAGGACTGTACCGGCTGGACATCGCAGATATTAGCAATGGGATAAAACATGAAGTAACCCCAGATCTTATCTTGCAAGATCCAGATCTTGGGGCGTTCACAGTCGACCATACAAATTTTCGCATTCTTGTATCGAGCCACTCCAAAAATACTGTCCTTGCTGTTTCCTTGGATGGGTACGATTTTCAAAACCGTACAACACTGCGTTGAGATTGATTCATTTGCTTTACAGAAAGGAAGTGACTGATTTGAGACACAACACGCAAAAACCACAATTTGAGAAAGTCCTTTCTCTCACAATGGCCAACGGTCTCTTCTATTGGACCAACGGGGATATAGTACTTACAGAAGAATACCACACAGGGCAGAACAGTTATTTTCACAATCTTGTTGTCCCTGGTGTAAAAGATCCTGGGTAATTAAAATTATATTAAACCATTTGTTTTGATTTTTGTACATTTTTTATTTTTTTTTAAAGCTATGTGAGTATTGGAGTGGATCTTCCCTCAGCTCAGCCAGTCCCTGCACCTGTTAATCCACCGACTGGACTGCAAGCAGTGATGGGCGCTAAGTTTGTGAGAGCCACATGGAACATACCACATCTTCTTGGAGGTCAGGGGAAAGGCGCCTGGCAGAACTGGTCATACCAACTGAGCATTGAAGACCTTTCAACTGGAGAGACATCCCTCTTGCGTCACATTAATTCAACAAGTGCCATGGTCCAGGGGCTGATGCCCGGCAGGCAGTACTTCCTGAAGACAGCCGCTGCCACAAGTTCAGGTGTCGGGCCTTGGTCTGGGGCCTTCACAGGGACGACATTAACTAGTGAAGGCAGAGCGAGGCTCATATGGAGCTCATCCGATTCAGGACTCTTAACAACAGATCCGACCGGGCAGGATGAAGAAATCTTACTACATTCCGATCAACTCCAAGTAATTAAAAAACATCACAACTTTCTTTTACAAAAAATTATATTAAATTGCTTTACATTAGGGAAGTCAGCGTAAATATCAAATAACAGGTATTTCATGGTATGAAGACCAACTTTACCTAGTTACAAATGGAAGTGGTGTCCTTTGGTACAACGTTACCACTAGAGAAAGTGGAAAAGTCGCAGATCTCACTTCAGTCGGAAGCATCGCAGTTGACTGGGTCGGGAAAAAACTATACTGGTCAAATCCAAAACAACAATTGGTAAAGTTATTGTTAAGTTTTAAACAATTTTCTTCTAAACCTTGTTGAATTTTCAGATAGCGAGAGGCAGCCTGAAGGGCAATGACCAAGAACCTCTGCCGATCCTCACAGTGGCAAAAGAATTGAATATAGATTCAACACAAGCGTACATTTATTGGTCTACAGGACATGCTGTTGAATGTGCTAGGCTTAATGGAAAACACAGACGGGTTTACTATCCCGCTGAATTATTTTCTGGAAAACAGGGTAATTTCATCAAATACCAATTAACAAAATTTGTTTTAAAAAAAAGCTTCAAAATAATGTTGTTTATATTTTTGTTTTTCAAGTTATGGGACTTACTTTGGATACCATATCAAGGATGGTTTTTTGGATTGTTAGAAATTACGAAGGATCCACTCTTTTTCGTGCCGAGATGGCAAATGGAAATAATTTGAACTGGGAAGTCTCTTCAACCAAAATCTCCTTGGTGCAGCATCCAGATATTTTAGGTAAATTTATATAAACATTAAATTATTCAGATATCGTGAGATGCTGTCGGGTGTGATGTAGGCTTCAGAAAAAATTTTCTTTATCGTGCCAACGTTTCGATCTTTTATTGAGATTTATTACACAATTACACAGAAGACAAACACTTTGAGCCCTGAAGATGATCTCAATAAAAGATCAAAACGTTGGCACAATAAAGAAAATGTTTTTCTGAAACCTACATCACACCCGACCGCATCTCACAATATCTGAATAACTATCGATTAACGGTCACTAATCTCTACACATAAACATTAAGTGTAGTGCGTTTATTAAAAAATAATATAAAATTCCAGGGCCTTTGGTATATTTTGACAATAGACTAATTTGGCTAAGAGATGACAAGCAAGCTGTGATCGGCGATTTATTAGGCTCTAATTCTGCCCTGCTCAATATTCCAGTACTTAATAATCTTAATGTGTTTACTGTCATCGACGAGACAAGAATGCTAACGGGTTTGTAATTTTATGAATTTATAAAAATTATAATTGATCTATTATGTTTATTTCATTTTAGACCAGAGTTCCTCATTGAATGCCATTCCTGAATCAATAAAGCAAGATTCTATAAGAATTGTTGGTAATTATAGTAATTTTAACATCAGTTGGGATCCAGTAACCAATGTAAATATTGGTGAAGTATTCTATGAGTTGAAAATTTCTCATAAAGATCAGAAAGAAATTACAGTAGGTAGATTAAAAAAATAAAAAATTGCTTGTAGTGTTAATTAAATATAAAATGTAGGTGGAGACTGTGGGTTCGACTTGGTCTTATCCATCTTCTGACATCCCTCCGCCATATTCAAGCTTAGAAGTGTCGGTGAGAGCACTCACTTATTGGGGTGTATCAGCCCAAGTCAGCACAATTCTTTACAGCCCTGAGACTTCACCGTCCCAACCATCTCAACCGAGAGCTTTTGTCGTTATAAGAACACTACCAGGGAAGTCGGTTAAAGAGCCAGAGGTTGTTTTCCGCTGGGATCCTCCATTGTCACCTAACGGAATCATTATCCGTTACACCGTTGTATGCTGGCTGAACGGATCAGACACATTTTTATGCAATGCTCCGAATCTTGATCCAAATCAGCTCAGTTTTACGTCCAAAGACGTGCCTTTTAACGTAACTGTGTTTTTTCAGGTAAGAAGAAATTTCACTGTGTGTAAAGACTTAACTAACGCTTGACATTTTCAGGTCAGGGCATGCACAGAAAGCGGTTGTGGATTACCAAGCAGAGCAGTAATGGTTAGAACGGGTGTACAAACCCCAATTCCCAGGTTGCTTCTGACGACCAATGAAACTCTGACCCTGACGGATGTCGACCGTGGAGACAACACGACATTGGCGCACAATACAGGTGGCGGGGTGACTGGTGTTGTATTTCATAGTCGGGGCAGTGGAGGTGTTTACTGGATCCAAGACTCCCAGACAATAGTCCATTCTTCAGCGAAAATCCGAGCAAAGCATAAAATCCTGAGCTTGAACGGGACAGGCTTGAGCCTTGCCATCGACTGGGTCAGCAACACCCTGTTCTGGACAGAAATGTCCGAAAGAACCAACGAACTAAGAAAACTCGACCTGACACATTTTGAACATGATATCATACATGTCAAAACTCTCCTGATCAGACCATCACCCATGCTGTCTGTACAGATAAATCCATTAACACGGTTAGTACTTTAATTTGTTATTCCTAAAAATAAAACGCATAACTAAAATATAAACTTATAGGTCAATTTACTGGTTTGAGGAAAGTACTAATAAGCCAAAGCTCTGGCAGTCCTCCATGGACGGAACAAACGTCACTCCATTCTTCAAAAATGGAAAGCATAAAAGGTACTTTTCACACAAGTTTATTTCATGTTATTTTTTTATTTACTAATTAATTTTAATAGAAGGTGGGAAAGAAGTCCATGTTCATGTCCTTCTGAGCCACATCCTGGGCCACAGTTTACAATCGACCACATATCTGGTGTACTTATTTGGTCAGATGTTGTTTTGAAAAGGCTGATGGCTTCTGACCTCAACGGCTGTCACTGTACTGTGCTGATGGACAATCTTCAGCATAACGAAACTGGTAAGATTTTTAAAACTGACGTCTAGACAATCAATCAAATCATATTTTTAGGTTTACCTCCGAGCTGGATAACATCCGACCAGGAATTAGTCTACTGGTCAAATTCAACCGAAAACAGGCTTTACAGCTTGCAGAAACGAGATTTGGAAAGATACGGAATAGCTCAACCTAAACATGAATTTATTCCTGGTTTAAAAGAGATAACTGCTTTTGGAAATCACCTTCAGCCTTATCCAGGTTTGGCATATACTTAAATATATAGTCTTGACTGTTTATTGGTGAAAAAAATTATCTTTCAGATCTAAAATGTCTTATACCGAGACAGCCTCCCCCTCCACCAAGCCTGACAGGAAAGTCGAGCGACAGTCTCACACTCCTTTTAAGTGATAATCCAAGGACGGAAGAATGTTGGAACATTTCTCAGCCAAACTCATTCTACACTGTCTATTACCAGGAAGTGGATGCTGAAGGTTTCACGACTTGTACAACCAAGATCAGGGACTGCAAGAAATACGTTAGTTCTTTTGGTGCAGCATTTTCAACAGAATGTTGTCTATATTAATTTTCTTTTCAACAGGAGACACTCGAAAAGTATGTGACTATAGATGGCCTCAACCCCTATTCGGAATACATATTTATGACACTCGAGAGAAATTATTATTCAGACTTGGCCAACATCACTCTAGAGCCTAGCATACCCGTTGTGTTTCAGACTGCTCCTGGAGGTAATTAAATTTATATATCCCAACATTGATTAATTAAATTTTTTTACTATATTACCGGCACAATATGGTGACATATTCTTCTTTTTAATAGATGGTAATTAATTTGTATTTATTCAACAGCACCATCACCACCGGAAGAAGTAATGGCTGATGTGCTTTCTCCAAATACTTTGTTGATCAGTTGGGACCCACCTCGCTTGCTCAACTCTGATATGGTCAGTTACGAAGTGTTGTGGACCTCTGATGGTCCGGTTGACGGTATGAGGCAAAGAGGCGAACAGGTCGTACCTCCGAGGTGGAACTACTCGAACGGGATGACGAGGGAAGAAACTCAGATTCACAAGCTGTCACCGGGCGCAAATTATTTGATATGGGTATGATGTTTTCTATTATGAAAACCCTAAAATATTATAATTTCTCTAATGATATTTTCTTACTTCCAAGCAATCATAAGGTCATAATAGTAAGAAATATCTTTATTGTATTTTAGTATTCTAAATAATAAATTTTGTTTTATAGTGGTAAATATAAACAAACATTTTAATTTTAGTACTTTTGAATAAGTTTTATGCATTTACAGGTTCGAGCTTATTCTGAGAATGCTGAAGCATATTCAGAAAGCAAACCAATCGAAGTGTCCATGTTTCCAGAGCCTAACAATTTAACTCTAGTCAGTGCGACTGCGTATTCGCTGAACATCACATGGCAGAAAAACACTGACCTGCCTTACATACAGTGAGCAATATAATTCAATTAAATTAAAAGTGCAAACTAAATCCGAATAAAATTTCTAGCCACAAACTCGAGTATGTTGACAGTTCGTCAGGTGAGTGGAGTGTAGTCTCACCGACGAATTCAACCGAAACCGGCCTTGAGGAGTATCTGATGGTGGGCCTTAAACCCAAAACGGTGTACACATTCAGGATCAAAATCATATACAAAGACCCAAATAGTCCTTTCTTATGGCCACAAGACAATAGATTTACATTTAAAACTTTGGGTAAATAGGCTGAATCTGAAAGTTTATGTCGAGTTTTCTTAAATGAGTTGGTTTCTAGGTGACAGACCGAGCAAGCCTGGTGTACCTGTCATTCAACATTTGAGCGGTGAGGCCTTCCAAGTTGCTTGGGAGCCTTCAAAAGATAATGGGTCTCCTGTTCAACTCTACTGGCTCGAAGGTTTTTTTTTTTTTTAATTTATAGTTTATCACTCTTAGTTATTGTGACGAGCGGTTTCTCTTTTTCCCCGAGCGCGGCTTGCAGCTCGCGGCTCACGGCTCGTTCGAATACCGTCTCTTGCTAGGGTGCTCCGAGAGGGTAGCGAGCTACTCCACTCTAGGCCCGTCAAGCCTTTTAGGGGTAAGATTTGTCAGGTTGCCCGGCTTGACGGGTGAACACCCTTTACTTACTAACTCTGGACAAGGAGGTTTGGGGGAAAGATACACCAATTCAGACTGAACAACCAGGTCCCTTTATTTGATATGACTGTACAATTCCCAATATGTATAATCAACTAGTGAATAACGCCCTAAACCTTCTTATAAATAGCAACCCTTATTTCCTATTAAACAATTCATATACAAAACTTATTACTGGAAGACTAATTCTAGATATAACTAATGCTCTTACTCTCTATAATGAAACCTTAATACTAGGGGCTTAATTATTAGGATCGTAGTACTAACAGTAGCCTGAAATCGCCCAACTGTTCTCCAAATCTCCCACAAACCAATTGACAAAATTTGTACTCACAGGAATGGAATACATGCATCGGTTTCGTCGGTTTGGTGGTACGGATCCTGCGAACTACGCTGACTAATCTGCCACACCAGTTCCCCTTTTGACTCTGTTTGACAGACTCACTCGTCGTCTCCACCGGACACTCCGACTGACTCAACTCTCTTCGGACTCCACCCGGATTCTCTCTTCCGACTCCACTCTCTGATTGTCCTTTTTATATCAATCCGTTCAGGGAGGAGGTGGGGGAACAGTTGCATTTTGAAAATACTGATATGCTTCCGGGTGACCCGACTGCCCTTTGTCCTCTCCAGGTCATTGAGCTATTTCGGATGAGTCCGGGCATCAGCTAATCCTGAGGGTTGAGCAATAAGGCCACTCGTCAGCACAACAGCCAATTTTTCTAGGTTGAATTGAAAACATCCAGCTGTTATTATTTCACCAGCTTTTTTTTAAGCTGTGTCTGGAGTTCTCGAGAAAGACCGGGTCGGCTCCCGCGATTCCAGGCCACCTCCGGTTACTCACCCCGGCACAATATGCTTTCCCAACAATTAGCTAACCTATTTCTACGTCTAATTTTAATATTTATATCAAACTTAAATTTTTACAATCCCGTTTAAAATTCCCTTCACAGTTATTATATTTAAAGTTACACAGTGAAACCCAAAATGGTAACTTTCAATAATTGGACATCCCTCATGACCGGACAGTTTTATTATCCCTGGTATTATTACACGTACTTTACTAAAAAATGTACTTCTAACAAACAAACCGAATGAAAAAGTCTCTTATAAGTGGTCAGCAAAAAGAAAAACAACTCAGTATTCCATGAATGGCATATGACTCCTATACAAAACGACTTGATGGCAATCTACTTGCAAACGTTAATGTGAGAATGCCCTTTCAAAAATCGTGTTATGAACAGTAGGAAATTTGTTTTCCTTATTGCAGCCCTGAAACCCCTTCCAGGTATCCATCCTGATTCCTTGGACCAGAGTGGCCTCAGATGCGACGCCGACATCCTCTCTCCTTCTGTCATCTCAGACCTCCTGGGCTGTTCTCCTCCTGGGCTGTACTCCTCCTGATTCGCCCTGGACGATGGGAAAATCATACTTATAATGGCAGTCACTAAACCCCTTCTGGGATCCATCCTGCCCACTCAATCCAGGATGGTCTCAGCTACACAAGGAGGACAAGCTGAAATTATAATGCTGATGTCTATTCGCAGCCCATATCCTAGTCTGCTGTCTTTTCTTATTGCTCTTCTCGTCCTCTCTTTCTCCTCTCCTCCACACCTTCACTGTTTTTCTCTATTTTATTGTAATCGTAATTTGAACTTAACATTTTTTACAAAACCAACCCTTGACATATGACTTACTTCCGTTCTGACCTGGCTTTCTTTTCCCCGGCTCTCCTCTCCTCTCTTTAGGACACGATACTTTTCAATGTGGAGGGGGGGGAAATTAAGCATTTATTTTAAGCTTTTGGCACTTATTGGTCAGTTCTCAGATTTGGGGGAAAAAAAAAATTGTCGGTCGAAGAAAAGGTCAAAGTTATACAAGTAGATGAGAAAGAAAAAGTACTGCCCATGACAAATTTAATTGATTTATAAATTTTCTACATGTGAACCCTTCTAATAATCAGAAAAACTCAATTCCTGAGGGGCGCCCACTCATGGGAAGTTCGAATTTAATTATATACTATCATACTTTCTTAGTTTCTCCACTAGTTACAATTAATTTGTATACACATTCTGTCTATAATTGGTCATTTTGAAATAATTTATGTTTATATACTATTGCTAATATCTATTTTTCTAATTATCTACTGATTCATGCACAATTCTGATCCTGATAGTCTAGACAAATTTGGTTGTACACATAAATGGAAAATAAGCTGGTAGTTTAAAAAATCTGCAAAAGTGTAGTTGTTACTTCTGATAATTTTGATCAGACTATCCTTTCTGTTTTGGTCTGTCGGATATGTTTCAGCTTTTTGCCATATTCTGTTTTTAATAATAATTTTTGGTTAAACTGAATACTGAAGATGGTGACTGGCTGAAATGCATCTGACAAATCGAAAAGTTACGAAAGGACTTAAGTACTGGATCATCTCACAGACCTCACATTAAGAGAGTTTGGAGTGGGCAATAACACAATAATTGATCATTAATGCTGTTTACATTTATCTGGAAAATACAAAAAAAAATATTTTACAATCTGAAAAATTTCCTAACTGCTGGCCAAAATTGTAGACGTTTCAGCATAATACCTTCTGTGTTTAGTTTTGCATAGTTGTTACAATGTATACTTATGTTTATATTGAAAATTTAGGCACAAAAGTGAGTGATTTGGAACGAACTTTGAACGTTGAAAATCTCACAGAAAAAGATGGAGAGGATGAAGATGTTGAAGACCCTTGGAAACTTTATTTCAACGGGACTGGTACAGAAGATGAGAATATAAAGAATAAATTTACATTTTTTGTTTTCAAATTAATGAATTTTAGATAATTTCTGGATTGTTTCAAACCTGGAAAGCCATGAGAGGTATAAATTTCGTGTGAGATCACAGAACGACTATGGGTGGTCGGACTTTAGCGAGTCGAGCGGTTCTTTCGACCTGACAAGGGCTGCGATGCTGGGCGATAGAAAGGAGATAACTATTATCATATGGATCATGACTCCTGCAGCTATAATCTTGACCTTATTGGTTTTCATGTGCGGTAAGTTTTTGTTTTTTTAATTTTTAAAAGATGGTTTTAATTTTTTGTCTGCAGTCTTGTACAGACATGAAAGGGTAAAAAAATGGGGCTCAGCTGGAAGCGGTCACAGGGCACTGAACGATCCGTCAAAAGGACCGGACGTCGAGCTGGCTTCACTGAGGCAGATACCGAGATGGTCGGCACATGTCCAATCGTCAAACATCCTTTACACTGGAGGAAATCTAGCACCCGTTTCTCTCTTGCCACACCTACGACGTGATCAAATCACACTTTCGAAGTTCTTAGGCTCAGGGGCATTTGGTGAAGTGTTCGAAGGGCAGGCGAGAAATCTTCCCAACTCGGAGAGTGATATCACACGAGTTGCTGTAAAGGTATGATCAGTAGTTTAAATTATATTAAATTAATCTGCCTAATTTTTTTTTTTAAATTTAGACATTAAGAAAAGGTGCTAATGATCAAGAAAAGGCAGAGTTTTTAAAGGAGGCACAGTTGATGTCGAATTTTCGGCATGCTCATATACTTCAACTCCTCGGTGTGTGTCTGGACAATGATCCTCATTTTATCATAATGGAACTTATGGAGGGTGGAGATCTTTTATCTTACCTACGTGCATCACGTCCTCTTCTTGTAAGTTGTACCATTATCGACTATTATGAACATTTATTAATTATATTTTTGATATAGAAAACTGAATCTGGTTTAACTCTGATCGATCTTCTCTCCATGTGTGTGGATGTTGCAAAAGGCTGCTGCTACTTAGAAGAGATGCATTTTGTCCACCGAGACCTGGCATGCAGGAACTGCCTCGTCTCGTCTCGTGTGAGAGAAGACAGAATCGTGAAAATAGGAGATTTTGGACTGGCAAGGGATATTTATAAAAATGACTACTACAGAAAAGAAGGCGAAGGTCTGTTGCCGGTCAGATGGATGTCCCCCGAGTCGCTCGTCGATGGCGTTTTTACCTGCCAGTCAGATGTTTGGGCTTTTGGGGTCCTCCTCTGGGAAATTATGTCCCTCGGGCAGCAACCATACCCAGCCAGAAATAACTTAGAAGTACTTTATTATGTCAGGAACGGTGGAAGGCTTAGCCAGCCCACAAACAGTAACGTTCACATGTAAGATATTTTAAATATAAAAAAAAGAGTCATATCTTATAAAATTTCATTTTGTTAGGTATGACCTTATGATAAAATGCTGGAATTTCAATCCAGAGGAACGGCCGACTTTTAAATATTGCCTAGATGTTTTAGAAGAGATATTAAAAAATACTGAAGACATTCCTCTCAACACTTCAACACTTACAAGTATGTTGTACTTTTTTAAATTTAACTCTTATATTTTTTTTTTCAATTCATATCATTTATTTGTCTCTTATTGAATTTTTTGAATTCTAGCTGAAACAGTAGATGAGTAGGACAGCATGAAATTCCTCCTAGAATCTACTCCAGAACAAAATCCAAGAACAATCTTGAGTAATTAAGCAATTTCATGTAAATACATTAAAAAGAAGCACATTTACATCAGTAGTGTAGAAAAAAATTGTAGATTTTGGGAGTAGATTTTTAGGGTGGAGGAGAATTATAAACAATTTATCTTAGACATTTACATTTTAATGTTTTTTAGACTGTGTGGTTAATAAGAGGAGGACGGAGGATATTGGCCCGATTAACTCCCAGGGGATACCAAAATACCTCGAGCTGCTCTACGACAGTGGCGATAGCTCCGGTTATGAGATACCCAAGTCGCTCTGTGAAATCAGTGAGACCACCCAGCTGCAAAACGAAATCGTGAGTGATTCGGAGGAGCGGTCCAGCTTAGAGAAACTACTGCCTGTCGTCGACTCGGCCTTGTCCGAGAGAAGAAACAGAGACTCAATGGTCGTGAGATGATTCCATGTATGATAAAGTTAAATTACCAAAGAGTTTTGTATTTATATTTATATTGAACGTGCTTAGTACAAATTGTGTCAGGCGTTACGAGATGAGTAAAGTTTCATTACATATTGATGATTTATTTGACTGTGATTGTGGTAGATTATTGACTGATTGAAATATTCACAATTTATTACTGTTTAAAAAAGATCTGTACATATTTATATTTTATTATTGTATATTAGAATGTTTCCTGAAATCTTGCATTTAATTTATTTTGTAGCACTTTATATTTTATTCATTGTACATATAATTAAGTTTAAAATGGAAATATTTTTAAATCTAATAAATTTCGATTCTTGTAAGTATTGTAAAAATTGAGATCTGAGTATTAAAAGAACATTTTGAATTAGTCCTCTTATGCAACCTTGCCAAAATTATACAGCAGAAAAACTTTTTCTGATGATTATTGTTCATAATTAAAAATGTCAATATGATGATACTGATGATCAGGACAAAAAGGTCACTGATACCGAATCAGCAGGTGCTTTGTTGCTGACATTGCTGACTTTTTTTATCTCAACTAAAAACTTAATTTTTTTTCCCATCCACCTCCCCGTCGTACCTAAGGGAGACCCCATACCGGCGGACCACGGCCACTAAACTAATTCAAATGGGATGCAAATTTAGGGGATCTTGTGCTTAACGTCTTCCTTCGACCTTGCCCTGAAAGGGAAGACCCAAGGAAGAAGGGAAATTTTTTTTATTATTAATTTATCTAATCTAATAGGTCTCCCTCTTGCTGGTTAATCCTTTTGAATACACTTTCTAATAAATACAATATTTTAATAAATAAATAACAATTATGGGTACAAGGAGTAACCAGCCCGGAATTAAAAGTTCAGGGAAACGCTAAGATCTAAAATCTTAGTTAGAACATCATAGGAAGAAAAAGAAGAAAAAGAGAAAGAAAAAACTAATCAGGTACTTTATCCACTATAGCTCGGCTAACACGCTTGAGGACCTCAAACGTCCTCTTTTCTTTAACCAGTTCGTTGAGGGTCGGTGGCCAAGTGTGGCGGAAGAGGAGCTTTAGTGGTTCTCTCACCCTCTCAAGGAGGGGGCAGTTGAATAATCTGTGTTGGACACTGTCATCAACTCCGCAGTCGGGACACAGTGGACTGTTAGCTCTACAGAATCGATGCAAGTAAGCGTTGAAATTTCCGTGACCTGTCATTACTTGTGTGATCCAGTAATCTGGTTGAAACCACTTTGCTTTTGCTCGGTCCTCAATACTGGGTAGAAACTCGTGGGTTAGCCTTCCCTTGGTGCTTCTGTCCCATCTTTCCTGCCACAAGTTGTCTATCCAAACTGTAAGGATCTCCCGGATGTGCTTTCTAGGTGCAGTTCGTAGCCTTTCCCTATCTGACGCATCCAAATTTACCATTGTTGGCTCCTTTCCATCTCTTAGCTGCCGGATTGCAATTTTACAGTGGAGGACAATGCCTATTGGTGCAGCGGAAGCAAGGACTTGGAGGGCGTGAGTAGGGGCTGTCCTATAAGCTTTAGTCGTTCTCAGGAGCGCTATTCTTTGACTCTGCTCGAGGATGCTTCTACTCCTGCTTTGCAATTTTGTTCCCCAAGCTGCTCCTCCGTATGTGGCAATGGGCATTTTTGTAAGTGATAGAGAGCGCCCTTGGACTCAGCCCCCATTTTGATTTCGCGATCGAGCTTAGTTTCGAGAAGACGCATCTCGTCATTTCTATGATCTTGATGGCATGGTGTGTAGGACTTAGCCTTTCTCCCAAAACTATGCCTAGGTACTTTACCTTTTCGCTCAGCTTGATTCTTTTCCCTTCGATCTTAATCACGGGGCTTGTACTTAATTTGCCTTTTAGCAATAGCGATTGGCATTTGTCAGGAGCAATTTTTAATTTGGCCTCTTCGCACCATGTTTTGATAGCTGTCACCATTGCTTTTGATTTTTCTTCTATTTCTTTGATTCTTCTTAATTTTAATATATTAATTGGTCAAGTGGACCACGAAATTAGTGAATTTAATAAATTAAATGAAGTATACTTCACTAAAGCTCTCCGTGGCCATTTCATTTGACGCCGAGAATCCAATCCGATTTCACAACATTTCAAAAATGGCAAAAAGGAGGGAAAATTCAAAAGGTAGGGTTGAGATGGGAAGTTAGTGTCCAAGTGGATCAAAGTCACAATAGCTCAGGTGGTAGAGTTGCAGTGTATCTAGCCAAAAGTTGTGGGTTCGAATCCCGCTCGTGACATTGACATTTTTATCTCAACTAAAAACCTTAATTAATTGCTGTCCCTTGAATAAGAGCAGCAATTGTTTGATAGCTACCTGTCATCCTGGACTAAGTATTATATCTGATTTTTGGACTCCACTCTGTAGTCGGCAGAAATCGCCCAAATAACGAACATGGCAAAATGCCGAAACACGTCTGAATTAATGAAAATCATCATAGACAGACCAGGATGAAACTATCAAACAATAGGTTTATTAGCCCACAGTCTGTAGGAGGAAATTTTACAAATGCTGCCATATTTGGGTTTCTTTCTTAATTTGGAACATGCGTATGATCGAGTTTTAACCTCTCTCATGCATATTGCCTCTTACTGAAATGTACCGTCTGTCAGGGAACTGAATTTTCATATTACGAAGGTATTGGACTAGGTGTTCCTCAGGGAAGTGCCCTTGGTCCATTTCTTTTTTCACACTACACATGTTAACATTTCAACATATAATTTTGATTATACAGTGATTCTTACACCTAATTTGGACCACTCCATAAACAATTTGTATATACAACACCCGAATGAATTGGAGGGATGGTTCACAAAAAGGAAAATTAAAATGAACCTAACTAAAATGTTCAAACATGGCTGAAGACAAAAGGTCAATGCCAAAAAAAAAAAAAAAAAAAAAAAAAAAACTAAAATGTTACTAAATACTTTATTTACTAAGTTAAGACTCTCTGAGCATACGGTTGTGAAGTATAGGGCTCAATAAAGTATTCTAATTTCCAATGATTTAATTTCTCCATCAGACTCTAAATCCTGTTTATGTTTAATGACCTTGACATCTCATTTGTACATAACTTAGTCAAAATGGAAGTGACACCAAGACCTTCGCAGTGAAAACTAATGAAATTTCCACGTGAAGGAGTTTGTCACTGGACAACTTTTTCCAAAGTGACTCAAACGAGTCAATTAACTTAAAAAAATATTTACCTAATGCAATCTTTGTAGTTGTAAAAATTTATATACTTCATACACTTTCAGATCATCGATGATCATCTTGTCAGGCAGTGTTTTTGTAAGTTATGATTTAATAAAATTGAACTTTGTATGTAACTGAATAAATAACCTTCAAATTGTGCCTGTAATACCAGAGTGACATGTCAAGGTGCAGCAATACACCAATGCACAAGTTTTTTTATTTTCAACCTTTTTCGGCACTTACCTTGATTGCAAAATATTGTAGTATTGACCGTGTGATTTGGTTAAGGGATGGGTCAGGAATAATTCCAATTGTTCACTTTCAAAAAACAGCATTGAAAAAAAAAATGAAGCCACATTGTTTGTAAAATAATATAAACTCTTCTCCATTAAGCAAAAAACCAAAATTGAAAATGAAAACAAAAAAAGAAACTAAACAGCGTTCTTTTTTTGACATTTTATTATTATTATTATGTATAACGAACAAAATTATATATATATATTTTTTCTTCTAAAATAATATTTATATTTATTAATGCGATATATGATATGTATCGACACAGTACATTGATATAATCACATAATATAATCAGCAGTAATTATATCATAAATATACAATTTTACATAGCTCCTTTTTATTTTGTAAATATATTTTTTGCTGTATATTATTATTATTATTATTATTTTTAAAGTGCTTTAACATCCTTAGCACTGATGGGGTTTCTTTACACATTTTCAATAGGCAAACATATATTTATTATTTAAACATATGCATTTTTTTAGGTGTTTAATTTTTTTTTTTTTTTTTTTTTTTCCAATGGTAACTACGATTTTCAGTTGTAAAATTTCCCGATGTCTTCAAAATCAAATTGAACTGAAAACACATGGAAAACTTTGAAAACGGGAAATTAAAAAGAAATACGATAAATCTCAAAGAGAAAATGTGAAAAAGACGCGATAAATTTTTTTTTTAAAAGGAAATATTTATTTTAATCTATAATAATTGTTTCTGAAGATTTGGAAAAAATTTAAAGCTCAAAGACATTGCTGAAGGATTTCCTACATTATTTTTATTAACATTTAAGTCAGTCAATAGAAAAATAACGATTGAATAACAATTTGACATTTATCTATCCACTTATTTTTTTTCAAGATATTAAAAAATGCCTTTTTCTTTCATATTATTGAATTTTCATTTTCAATAATGTCATTAATTAGTTACATTTATTTAATGATATGTTTTGTTTACTTGTTCTTGCATAATAAAGTCGACGACTTATCCTTTGGACATTTAAGGACTTTTTTTTTAATTGATCGCATTCACCCTTGCACAAAGACAAAAATGATAATTTCAAACCTACATGATGTTCATTCTAAAAAGAAACATTAATCATTATAAAATAAAGGGTGAATGAGAAGAAGCACCCAAAATTGACAAGGAAGTTATTGAAAAATTTTCATTTGTCTCGGGCAGGAGGAGAGTGGCCTAAGTGAGCATTAAAAACAAAATAGAAGAAAACAAATTAAAATAAATTATAAATAAAAACAAGATACAAAATAAAACAGTGTGTCATAAAAAAAAGATAGTGAATCACAAACTACAAGGCAAAAAGTGAGCAAATGGATTTATACTGGAAATGGGGAGAACATGTGGAAAAACAACAACTACACATTCTAAAGAAACATAGAATAAAATAATAATAAAAGAAAAGAACTACATTGAGCCTTGTTTTGGAAAACCAACCATTTATTTTTCATCATTCACTTATTCATGCCATTCTTTCAAAAAAATAATCCAACAAGTAATTTGTTTTTTAAATATACTTCTTTTTGTTAGATATATTCATTTTCTTTTTTTAAATATAGTCAACAGAACTTTTGAGAACTAACAAAAAATAAAATAATGGAAAACAAAAACAGTGCTTCAAATCGTGCATAAAATTTTTACTATAATATTATATAATATATAATTTTTCATATATATATTTTTTTAATTAGTAAATAACATATTGGCAGGAATTTATCAGACCATATCACAATATTCAGTGCACTTTAAAAATACATAAAAAATATATTGAAAAATTGCATTCCTTCAATTTATTCTTTTAAATGAATTGTATTTGTTTTTCATTCGGTTCGTGTTTAAAAAGGAAAAATCAAATACACCAACTTACACATGGACAAACTTGAACAAATTTTCCTCAAATTTCTTGCATTTTTACATTTGAAAAGGTGATTGCTGAGGGTTCTGGTGCAGGTTTTAGCATGCAGCCGGGGCCTGAGTTGGCTCAGGAAGGGCGCCTCGGATTGGAAGCCGCCCCTCACATCTGGCCCCGATTATTATATTATTTTTTGGTAACTGTTTTGTCTTATAAAGAGGTCTCTTCTCCTCTGCCCAGGGATCTGAGGGGGATGGTTTTCCGGGGGTCCGCTCCGAGGCTCACGAGTGAACCCCCTTCATTCACCCCCGTTCTCGTCGCCACTTCCCAAAAATAAAAACGTCCCCCCCTTTTACGGTTGATTGATTTAATTTTTATTATTATTTCTTTTTAACTGTAACTCCTTCTTCCACTCACTCCACCATGAACCGTTTGAAGGTCTCCAATCATTCTTCTTGACCCCAGATTGGAGGCTATCGACTCGATTTATATGATAGAGAAAGATAGATTGAGAGAGAAAGAAAGAGAAATAGAAGTGAGATAGATAGATAATTTAGATATAGAGAAATAGAGAAAGAGACTTATAAAGAATGATTTTTTGAGGTTGTTTTTAAAGTATAATTTTAGTTTTTTTCTTGAGGGTGCTATTTTACACGGTGAGGGGGGGAATGCTATGTACAGGGTGTTTGGCGCTTGATGAGCAGCTTCTGAGGACTAGCGCCCTCGCGCCCACCTCAGTAGTGCATCTGCCAAAATGTCCAAATGAGCTTTTGTCTGAAAAAAAGAAAAAGAAAGAACATTAATATTTTATTAAAATTATTACTTAAACCACAAATAATCTAGGGGAATGTTAGTTTTGATACCTTCCAATAAAATAAATAATATGTAATATATAACTTTCTTATATTTTATTAATTTTCTGTTTATTTGACAATTAATTAAGGTTTTTAGTTGAGATGAAAAAAAGCTAATGGCACGAGAGGGATTCGAACCCACGACCTTCGGCTAGATACGTCGCTGCTCTACCACCTGAGCTACCGTGACCTCAATCCACTCGGACATCAACTTCCCATCTCAACCCCACCTTATGAGTTTTCCCTCCTTTTGCCATTTTTCAATCTAGCGTATCTAGCCGAAGGTCATGGGTTCGAATCCCTCTCGTGCCATTAACTTTTTTTCATCTCAACTAAAAACCTTAATTAATTGTCATGTATAAATTGGTCAAGTGGACCACGAAAGTAGTGAATTTCTGTTTATTAAAAAAAAAAAAAAAAAAAAAAACCTGCCAAAAATCAAGTGCACAGACGCATATTTTTTTACTTTTCATATCTTCTCATGAATAAAATATGTAATATGCAAAGTGTGATTCGAAATGTCCTGAGAGAATATAGACTGAAAAAGAAGAGCTTAGAGTTAGCAGGTTATCCTTTGGAGTGGTTGTATTTCCTGAATTATTCGATAATGTAAGCCAGAGATTACCAGTTGCAGATTATCGATCACTATTGTGGCTTTGTATGGCAAGTTAAGCCACCAACCAACTTGAAAATCTTGGCAATATACAGACTACGTTTATGAGGCTAAGACCGAGGTTAAAGAACCAAAATCAAGGACTAAATTGTTTGAAGAAAAATATGGTCTTTTTCTTAGTAAAAGGTGGATATGAAATTTTCTATCAATATTAGTGTTTAATGAGATGTAAAGATTATTGTGCAATAGATATCCTCCTTTCTGAGCTTTACATTCAATAGCACTGGAGTTTTAAAAGCCGAATCCCTGATATGATCAGGCGAAGTACTAACAATTGGATATCATTCGTGTTTGTCTGGTAAAATTGGTAAAATGAGGCTTACCAACATATCATTTTGTCATCATACAAGCTGACATAACAAATTTTTCAAAGGTGTGAATTAGGTTTTTTCGCATCAAGTTGAAAAAAAAAAAAAATTGCATTGCGACAAAAAAAGTAAGCAGAGTAGAAACGATTCGCCTTACATCACTCTACTTATAAACCTGATATTATGTTGTTTCTACATGACACATTTTTTAAAGGCGTGAATTAGATAGAATCAGGAAAAGTTCTAGCATTACCAAATTCAATTAAAAATTACTTTTTCGGGTTTGACAGAGTTAAAAATTGACAGATGAAGGATCTCAGGACACACAGGACTTATATCCCTGACATTCACCATCTGACTATAATAAATTTTTAAGTATAAATTGCTTGGCATCACACAAGGCGTCACCTCCAAATTGAAAAGAAACTGGGTAAAACTATGAGGACTGGAAGGAGTCGGCATCTTGCCTCATCAAACTTATAACCGTCGCATCTCTAAATCTGATTATGCATATTTGTGAAAAGTGTGAATTAGATTTTATCACCAAAGTGTAGTATAGTCACTGGTTTGAGTGCAAAAAGATATTGTTCGTGTTTGACAGGAAAAACTGGAAGAAATGGAAAGAGTCTTGCCTTCCCTGCTTCTAACCCTGATGTCACACCGTCTCACTGGCATATTTTTTTAGCAGTATGTTAAACATAGGTAAAATTGGCAGAAATGGAAGGAGAGTCAGCATCATCCTCTCCCTGCTTATATCCCTGGTTTTACGTTATCTATATATGGCTCATTTTTTAATGGCTGAAATTGTATGATGTCATCAAAGAAGAGCATTATGTTAAACATAGGTAAAATTGGCAGAAATGGAAAGAGTCTTGCCTCTCCCAGCTTCTAACCCTGATGTCACACCATCTGACTCTGGCATATTTTTTAGCAGTATGTTAAACATAGGTAAAATTGGCAGAAATGGAAGGAGAGTCAGCATCATGCCTCTCCCTGCTTATATCCCTGGTTTTACGTTACCTATATATGGCTCATTTTTTAATGGTTGAAATTGTATGATGTCATCAAAGAAGAGCATTATGTTAAACATAGGTAAAATTGGCAGAAATGGAAGGAGAGTCAGCATCATGCCTCTCCCAGCTTATATCCCTGATTTTACGTTATCTATATATGCTCATTTTTTAATGGTTGAAATTGTATGATGTCATCAAAGAAGAGCATTATGTTAAACACAGGTAAAATTGGCAGAAATGGAAGGAGAGTCAGCATCATGCCTCTCCCCGCTTATATCCCTGATTTTACGTTATCTATATATGGCACATTTTTTAATGGTTGAAATTGGATGATGTCATCAAAGAAGAGCATTATGTTAAACATAGGTAAATTGGCAGAAATGGAAGGAGAGCCAGCATCATGCCTCTCCCAGCTTATATCCCTGATTTTACGTTATCTATATATGGCTCATTTTTTAATGGTTGAAATTGGTTGATGTCATCAAAGAAGAGCATTATGTTAAACATAGGTAAAATCGCCAGAAATGAAAGGAGAGTCAGCATCATGTTTCTGCCTGCTTATGACTCTAATGTCGCTCCAACAGAATTTGCTGTTTTCTGACGAACGCTACATTTGTTCAATGTTGTCTATTGTAAACTAACCTAATTAAAATGGAATTATGGCATCTTTATCAAAATGGAACTCTGGTTGAAAGTTGGATAAAAGAGGAAATTAATGGCGTCAAATTCGTGTAGGTTAACATTTTAATAAGCTCATGACATATTAACTTTTGAATAAAACTCTTTTGTTGTTAACAAGGACTTTTTAACAATTTACATCAGAGTATTCATTTATATCAAGGTTTTCCGGAATGATTTACCATTAGAGGAAAAACATTAATAAAAACTCTAAGCACGTCTCGTTTATTCGTTTACAAGAATAAACAAGAACTAACAGGACAGACTTTTTTTCCCCAAACCTTTTATAGTTAGGGATTTCAAAGGTATATTTTTTTAAAACAAATCGTGCTGTCACTAGTGTTGTTTTATTTTCGATTGTGTTTGAATATACTTTTTAATGCATAATTCAATAGAGATAATTCAAAAGGGAGACGTTCAACAGGTAAGCCGTGTCGGCCAAGTTTCATTCAAAGGAGATATAATTAACAAGTTCGTTAACCGGGAGGTGAAGGGCCACTCTTTTGTTCTAAGAGCCCCATTTATTGATTCGAATTGAACTCTGGACTGGACGTTTTCGATTGTTCTTTCGATTCTGTGTCGAATGTTGACGGGTAATTTGATTTATCAGGCCGAAGAGAAATATGTAAAGGGAATTAGCCCTTTTCTCCTTTTGAAAGAGGGTATTTTTAGAATAGGTTTGTTTTTGAGCAATAATTAATTAACCAGTAGATATTTTTGCCTTATCCAAGCTGAAATTTTGTTTTATGTCGTGTCGAAAATGCCACAGTCCAATTTTACATCAATCATTATGAAAATTATTGCGATAAAAATATCTTTTTGCCAATAACAGTAATGTTGGAAAACTATTAACAAATAATATTCATTTCTTTCTAACGAGAAGCACTAATTCGTCCTGTAAACTCATTATCGAAAAATGTGAATCACATGTTGCAATTGTATTAAATCATATTGATTAACCCTGGTCCAATTGTTTGGGGTGCTTTTTAAAGTTATTTTTATCAATGAAAGCTAATAAAATAAATTGAAATTAAAACACAAATAAATTGTCAAAAATTCTGATTATTTTCAAATAGAAATGTTAAATATTTAAAATTTATTATGATTATTACAATCGTGATTTTTGGTAGAACAAGCAGGCAGAGTGGCAATCAGTTATACATGATGAGAGAAGTCACCTAGCACTCCCTCACATTGAATCAATCAATCTCTCAATGTTGTGGCAAGAAAACTATTGAACAAGTGGATTGGGGTGAAGGTTTAAATTTTTGTGGATGATTTTGTGCCGGAATTTAATAATGTAAATTACAAATGGGATTTGGAGGTCATTGTCGATTGTTAGGTTTGAAACGTAGAAGGACCAGTTTAATATTTTGCTTAGTATTTTTGATTGGGTGGATTGGATATTTGTATTTTGTAAGACATGGATTTTTTTGTCGAACCCCAAACTTCAAATTCATGTGTTCATATCGGTCTCAGGTTTGTCTTGTAAATGGTGAATTTGTTAGTAAGGTGTAAGTTTGATCTATTGTTAAATAATCTGAGGTGTAATTTGTAGCGTTGGTTAGTTTTTGTTTTTTCAGTCGTATGTGAGGTCCACTTTAGTCTTTTGCCATTGTATAGTCTCATGTAGTGCATATCTGATGTTGGAATGGGGTTTCCATTGAAATAGACAGTAGGGCAAGCGAATTTTTGGAGTGTAAGGTGGGTAGATTTAACTTTGTTAATTTTTACCTCCATTTGCAAGACCAAGATTGGATAAGTTTTAGGTGGAGTGTTCATGAAGGACCAGGATTAGATGACAGGAGGGTTGTGTCATCTGCAAAAGAGCATACATTGGGAATATGAAGGACCATAGGATGCTGCCCGGTGGGAACCATATAAGAAGAACAACCAGTACCTCTGACCATTGCAGCAGTACCAGTCTGTCAGATAGGATTTATAATGCATTGAGCATCAACAATTGTCATATCAATCTGATTGGTTGAAGCGCCGAACACGTCGGGAATGGAGAGAACCGCGGCAGTCTCACGCAGATGTTTCCTGAGGTCGGAAGATTCTTGATTGGAAGAAATTTGCGGAATTGAGCCATTGACTGAATTCATTGCCTTCTGAGACTACAGTTTGTCGATTTCGCCTCATATCTTTTTTTCAACGCCAGTGAGCCTTTTTTTTTTTTTTTTTTTTATTTTTTTTATTAATGAATGCGTTTGATGATTTATTTCTTATTTAAAAATAATGTGCTGAG